TTTTCCAGCAATGCAACTACCTAGGGGTGGGAATTCCTGACACGACACGATAACACGACTCAAACCGTACACGAAGTTAATGGGTTAGGATTAAGGATTTTCTGACACGAACACATATATGTCACAATCCATAAACTCGTATAATAAACAAGTTGTGTTCGGGTTGAACTCGCGAAACCCGAAAGTAACATGTCTAACCCGTTTATTTTAGCGTGTAACTTGTTATCACGAACACGACCCGTGACCCAAAAATGACCTGTTTATGACCTGTGTAACTTTATATATGTGTGTGTGTGTATAGATAAATATATAACACGACTTTTTTTGTTCTCTTATTTTTTTTCTTTTTCTTTTCTTCTAAACAAGATTTTTTTCTTTTCTTCCAAACAAGATTTTCCATGTTTGTTTCTCTCTCAAATATGTTTTTTGTTGGATCAATTGTGTCATGTCGTGTTGTGTCATGATAAATAAATAAGTTTAGAAATTAATCGTGTCAATCGTATCACCCACAGGTTGACACGATTATTAACAAGTCGTGTTAGTGTTTGCATATATGACATGTTTATTAAACAAGTCGTGGTCGTGGTCGTGCTTTCAACACGCGAACCCAATATGACATGACCTGAACATGACCCTACATGACATGATGCCGATCCCTACAGCTACCCTTATGATCCCGCATTTTGCATTGGGCATAGCTCTGTTCTTGGCCTCACTCTGCACTTGATCTTATTACAGCATTTCATGTAACCAAACTAACATCAATTGTTAAATAGATATTGAGCATTGATCCAAGTGATCTCCAACCCAGTTAGCAATGGAATTTTCTACAATGTGAAGAGAATTGGATTGTCTAAGCACCAAACCTCTTCTGGTGTATTTTTAAGGTATCTTCTACAAACAACATCCCACTATAGTTGTTTCGCGCTTAGCATGAAACTAGGGGTGTTCCAAGGATCCAAACCACCTGAAAACTTCAATCTGATCCATCTGATGCGACACACTACGAACAGTTTCAAAATCTTGCTCGCTCAGCTTTGGTTGAAATCATGTATTTTTTCCCTAGATTTCGGTTGGCAATGGGTTTGGCAAACAAGAACCCGATTAATCCAGCCCGATCGCATATATATTAAACTTACATGTTTCCAATATTATTTTTATATGTTTTCAATAATATCTTTCCATGACCAAGAAGTCTTCTCACCTTTTTCAATTAATCTGACTACTTTTAATCACAAAGTCTTATCCCCTTTCCAAGACAGACTTTTTTTGTTTATTTTTTTAGCTTCGTTCTTTTGTCTCTCTCTAATCCTCGTCTCCCCCTTCTATTTCAACCCTCTATCTCTCTTTGACCCTTTCATCTCATCTTCCTCCTTCCCTCCCTCTCGTCTCATTCTCTCCCACCCTTTCATCTCCTCCCTCTTAACCTTACATATATCTTTGCAAAAAGCACTATCTCCTCCTGCATTTTCAATTCATCTCTCACCATTGTCTTCCTTTGATTTTGTATCTCTCTTTGAGAAACCCTGTCTCCCTCTCATAGTGATACAGTCTCTCTCTGCTGGTGGCAATGGTGTTAATCGACGATGATGTTGATGCTGAGTTCTAAAGCGAAGTTGAGTCTCTCTATTTGCAGATTTGTTTTCATGTGCAATATTCTTAGATCTATCTCTTCCACTACATTTATACATGTTTGAATAACGACATGAGAGAAAATGGGGAGTAGATTTGAGTTGCATATGTATTTCAGTGATATATTATCTGGTGGGCTGAGGGCTACGTTACATAGACTCGAGTGTAGGTGTATATCCAGGGATCGGACACTTTAAAACTAAAAATTGAGGATATGTGGATATAGATCCAAATTTAGATACGGGTATGGGGATATGTTAAATAGTTATTTTTTAAATATATTTATTATATGAAGATTAGTTTAAAAAAAATTAAGGAATGACAAATTTTGTTTAAAAAAATAACAAATAAATAATAAATAAAAATTATTTTAGACATAAAATAAATTATATCATATATGATAAAATAAATTATCTTAATTTTCGGCATAAAAATTATGTTATTAATGATGTATTATATTATATAATATTTTTTTGGATGAATAATATTATATTAATATAGTTTATATTATATATAATTCAAATTATATTAAAAAGAAGAGAGAGAGAGAGAGAGGGAGAGAGATTGAGATCAAGACCAAAGGGGAAAACGAAGTAACACAGTCGCTATTCGAATATCAACTTTGCAGATCAATCTCAATTCGAACACAATTGATCGATCAACTTCATAGATCAAGCTTCGATTTCGACTTCGCTTTTTGTGGGTCTTGCAATTTGGCTCTGCAACAAAGTCAGATTGAAGTCAGCAACTGGGTTCTCTCCTTGCTCTCTCCTCTTTCGTTTCTTCTGTCATATTCATTTCTAAAGAGCTGTATCCCGGCCATATCCCACACCCACACCCATGTTGTGTTGTGTCGACATAGGTGCCTCTGAAATTCCAAAGAGTCCGTGTAACATAGGTTGAGGGTACATTCGAGCCGAGCCAAGCCGAACCAACCCGTCCCGTGAACACCCCTACGTGAAACCACTCCAATTACAAATATTATAGCACATCACGTCAAAATAAAGTATATCACCGTCCCGTGAACACCCCTACGTGAAACCACTCCAATTACAAATATTATAGCACATCACGTCAAAATAAAGTATATCATTTTTCAGTCTTCTATATCTTCCTGGATTATCAAAAGCTTTTCTTTGAGATCCATTGGTCCCTCCGTATCGCAAAGCTGGTTGACGCCAACTATAATGGTTGAAAATCCAAGGCCCCTAATAAAGCTTTGTTTGATAAAGCAAATGAATCATTCCGATAACTTCAAACCAGATCCTTTGAATTAGCCGATTTTATAAGATCAATTGAGCAGGCTGGTTGGGAAGGGGTGATTCGCGGAGAAAAGAATCGCTGAGAGATAGATTCTACTATTTGGTCAGGACGAATGAGTGGTTGTGAAGCATGCTCTGGAGGAGATTGACCCTTCCCCAAGTCAGTCTAGTTCATCACGCATGTTTCTTTTAGACTATAAATTACGTAGTAATCTTTCTCCGTCTCTGTGGTGTTGTTATCACTTGAATAATACGATTCTGAGGTTATTGCCAATCGTCATACCAAGTGCAAAATTACTTCATCAACATCAATTCTGAAACAAACTAGGTGGGTGGAGTATGGGAATTAAATGGATTCAAACAAGGGTATGGGGCTCTAGAGATGTTGGCCACTGCTCCTCATAGTTCTGCTCCAGATGTGTGACTGGTTGTTTAAAGGAGGGAGGGGACGAAGTTGAGGAGGGAAATGATGGTTAGGGTAAGTTGAATTGGGATAGAAGTTTTGGATAGCTCTATTTCTGAGAGGTGTGAAGAGAAGGCGATGTTGTCTACAGAGTCATGTCCTTCTCTGGCTATGTTTAATTTTGAGGATGGGGGTCTTTTGTTCAATGACAGTCAGGAGGAGGTAGAGGTCAAAAAGATGGACAGGTTATTCTTTATTAGCAATGTAATTGCGAGAAGTTTTCATTCATTATTGATAGGGGACTTAGTTTGAGCCATGAACAGATTGAACAATTGGTTAGGAAGGGTGAGTGAATTGAAAGTAGAAGATAAAAAGTTGGGAGATTAGATTGATGGTTGTCATTCCGTTCATGGGTTGAATTATTTTAGCTATATACATATATTTCTTAATTTTTATCTATTTTTTTAATCTCCGCAAATACTGCAAATAGATGAAAGTGTTCCAGAAAAATTTTGGTTTCTAAATTTGTTTTTATACCATTCACATATACTGCAAATTGCCTTGGGATGAGCAAAGACAAATGTAGTGTGTGGGTGACATAAGTTCCTTTTCCACACAATTGTCTTCTCCTATGATGGTGGAGGTCACCTGCCGTGATCGGGTCCTGTTCTTGCCCAGAAGGACCAACACTAACCGTCCCAGCTCTCTGAACTTCTCGGGTCTCGTAACCTGTGTCATGATTCTACTAGATATTGTGGCAACTTTTCTGCATGTATATAATGAGAGGCATGCTAACTTCTTAGCATTGCAATTGCTTGCATCTATTCTTAAGAGGTGAATGAAAGGAAACAAGCTTACCACTTCTGACTTTCATGTACCAACAATTTAGCTCTCTTGAAGCAGTCTCAAACTGCCAATTATACCCTTTAGTTTATCAAGTCATTTCAAGTAATGCATTGCACACAAATCTCAGAAGAGAGGGAGGCAGGAAAGAGAACCTTATTTTGTGGCAAACATATTAACAATCCTCTACATCTTTTCCGCCATGTAGAGAAATGTCAGTGAAGCCCTCATTTAATTGGCCGGGACACTTACTAGTAGCCTGCTATCATCTATGTGAATCCCTATAATCTTACTCATCATGTAGGTATTTTTACTCAGGTGTTCAGGGATTATAATTTTTGCTATTTCTATGATTCACTTAAATTTTGGGGAGCTGTTTGTGTAAATAAAACTAGTAATAAGATTTGTACCCAATCCACCCTTTTAATACCACCCAATTTTGACAGAATAAAATGATGAAAAAAGATTCATGTAGCTAACCCTACTTGAGTAGGGCAGAAGACTTAGTCAGGTTTAATTTGGCTTACATATATGTATATATACACTATATATCGGGTCTTGTTAACGTGTGTCCTTAGGGCACATGTTAAGAAAGAAAAATATTAAACATTCATTACGCACCCACTTTATGCATAATGTATAATCTTTCTAAGCATCTTAACATGTGGCATATGTTAGCAAAATCCATTTATATTTATACTATTTTGCATCAATCCTTTCTATGCACATTCTTCACTAGTTACTAGCCTCTTAATGCTGATATATATATACATTAGTATTCTCTTAATATATACATATATGTATGCATATATGTCCTTTAAACTGTGATTTTAATTTGGTCAATTGCTGTCTGTTTGTAGCGGTCACGGTATGATCTAGAAGAGGAGATGCGAAATGCTCAAAAGAGAGGCAGTGGAGGCAGCTCATCAAAAATGCATGCAGATGCCCAGAATTATCCATTTGAGAGAAGCAGCAGCAACAGGCGCCAATGGCGAGAGGTCTGGAGATCACATGGAAATTCCCAACCTAGAGGCTCAGAAACAACTCGACCAAGTAGATTCTCATGATAACTGTTGGCTAGGTCTCTCAGAAAAATCTTGGCAATTTTGGATCATAACCATTTGACTGATGCCTAGTTGGATGATTATTTTGGCCAATAAGCTACATATCATGTTTGGCTTCTGTGAGAGGTTCAGCTTATGACAAGGACTTCATGCTGCTCTTCAAGAATAGATCGCGTGCATATAGATGGAGGTTTGAGAGTGAGGATTCTAGCAACTGAAGAACATCATTTTTGCAATGTTTAAAAAAAAAACAAAAACAAAAACAAAAAAAGGAACAGAAAAAAGAAGATAAGAGGTCAATGTAAAATAGCTTCACGTGATAGAGGGAGAGGGGAAGCTCTGGGTGGCAATGTTTGCAGAGAAGCAATGAATGTGTGGATGCAACTGACAAGAGTATGTTATATGTACAGGCTCCGGCAATGTGTACAGGAATTCATCTCATTGAGAAAGATTGTTGGCCTTGACTGTTCCACTAATTTCAGCCAGGATGTTACTAACGACACAGAAGAAGAAATTTTTCGCAGAGAAGCCTGCCTGGAAGCACTGTGTCCAAACAGGACTTGTGTTGTCTCTTTTTCTTAGTAAAAGTTTTTTTTTTCTTCTTTGGTTTCTCGGAGAGTATGAAATGTTGCGAGTGTACAGTCACTGTTTGTGGTGTTTGTTTGGAAGTTTAGAAAATTAACAATGACAAGATGGAAAAGTTTGTATTACGTTGTGTTGTCCAACAATTTGTGGGTTTGAAGCATTTGGTTGTGTCTCTTTTGATTTTGTGAACAAAAGATTTAAATAGTTGTACCCCCCAAAAAAATTAAGGTTTAAATTAAACTTGGATCTTCTCTGCTATGTCAACATTTTTCCTTCAAATTTTTTTTGTTTTTTTTTGGTCAGTCTCTTAAAAAGATGGAAATTGTAGTTACTAATTTTGGACACGGCTGTTAGCATTTCATATTTTAAATTATATCTTAGTATACATCATTTGTATTGCTTGGATATTAATTTTTAAATAGAAACAAAAATGTTCGAATATCAATTTTTGAATAAAAATCAATTATTCGAGTAAAAATTTTGTTCAATAATTAATATCTGAACATTTGTATTTTATTTGAAAGTTGATATCTAAACAACATAAATGGTGTGTTTTGAGATACAGCAATGATAGAGAGCTCTAATTAGAGCTCTATTTTTTTTATTTTTTTTTTAATAATATTTGAAAACAATTATTAGGCAAATTGTTTTTGTTTATTTCTTTGATGGCAACTATAGGGCTCTTTCCAGGAAGTAACCAACCACCATACTGTGATGATTTTGATATTGAATTATTGATAGTCCTATCAGTCTTTGTTTGCAGGATGCCCTATTAGTCTTTGTTTCAAGTGTGAATGCTCCTATTAGTCTTTGTTTCAAGTATGAATGCTCCAGGTGGTGACGTTTGTTGCTTAAGACTTTGTTTGATTTAATGTTAATATATTAATTGTTTCATTATTTTATTTTCTAGTCTTTTTGTTGCATTTACTTATGTGTTTGGTTAGAGAATTTGAGGAGAAATTTGAAAAGAAAAATGAAAATGAAAAAAGTAAGTGAAATGTGAATAAAATATACTTACATTTCATGTAGTTTCATACATTTTTTTTCTTTCCCTTTCTAAATCCCTTCTCAAATTTCTCAATCAAACACAGCGTTAGGGCCCTACTCTCGTAGACAATAGGCGATACAAAATTATCTATTCATAATTTTATTCATGTGTTAAAGTTAGGGCCGGCTTAAAACCGAAGCGAGTGAAACTTGCGATTTAGGCCCCCACTTGATAAAAGATCCCATTTTCTCAAAATTTCTCAAGGCCCCATTGAAAAGTTATAAGATAATTTTATTTTTAATTTTATTAAATAGTGCTTTAAATTCATTTATTAACTCTTTTGAAATGGTTATCTATTTTCTTAACAAGTATTTGCCATTAAAAATTTACAATTATTTTAAATTGAGAAAGATTTTATGTTATTGGATTTTTTTTCACCGGATTGTATCACCACTTATATGGACATTTATGATTGATTTTCTTTTTTAGAGATCTAATTATTAAGATATTAATAAAAACAAGAGTATCATGCCATATATTCAATGATATATTAATGGTGACAAAATAAGCGTAATGTATAGCAGTCTTCTTCTAAATTTTCTTAACTAATTTTTTGGATAAGTAATGTTATTAAGACACTTAACGCTTGCTTTGAAAAGGGCCTCCACACAACAACAAAAAAAGAAGAAGAAGGTATCTACTCACAAGCATAATATCACAGATTTAGAAAATGCATCTGTCGATTTAGTTTATAAATGAAAAGTACCTATTCTACTTTAAAATGTTCACTTTATTAAATAAAATAAAATAAAAAAACTCTACATATTTTGAAAATATCTTGTCTATAATTATAAAAAGACACTTTAATATTTAAAAAAAATTCCACCAATTTAGAATAGGTTGAGGTTTAGTCTTCAATTTTTTCTCTCCTTAGGTCTCATTTGAAAATATGTTATTTAAGTAACTTTTTAACTTTTTACGAAAAGATGTGCAGAAAAATAGAGAGAGCTGTATGATAACTTATAGATGTATAATTGACAAATGAGGGTTAGCATGGACTTCATTTTAAATATGTAAGCTCTAACTACTGGATAACTTATAGCAATTTTCATTTCTTTTTGTTTTATAACCCTTACAAAATTTTTATCAAATGAGACCTAAGGAGAGAAAATATTTTCAAAATATTTTATTTTAGGTCAACGAGTGTCAAGCCGACTTGATTTAAGTGATTCTTTATAATTCATTCTTATGAGATTCGTAAATGAAATATTATATAAATTAATATATTATATAAAATTTTCTTAACTCAACTGATGGCATGAAACTATTATATTATGAAATAGATACAATTAAGTGAAATATTATATAAAATTTTCTCACTCAATCAATGACGTGAAATTATCCCACAACCCGACTTTCAAATTCGTCTCTTTCCATGACCATGACAAAATACCAGAAAAGGTAGCTAAGGCACCTTCAATGTCACTCAATTTTGTTGACGATCCTTTAAGCATACAAATTTTACAGTCTTGCAATGACCTATTTCTCTGCTCAAGCTCTCAAGATGAGTATGTTCATCACTCTACAAGAAGTGATGACACATATTATCCCATTAACTTCTATGTGTATAATCCTACAACAAAGCATTACAAGATACTTCCCTCTCCTCTCGACTCTGTCGATAGCCTAGTTTATGGCGATTATTTAGCTTTCAATCGTTTGAAATCACCTCACTACAAAGTTGTTCGCTTACACAGGTTTTTACTAGATTTATATCAATTTGAAGTCTATTTGTCGCAAACTGACATGTGGAGGCTCACCAACATTTGTTTCAAACGCTAGTCCAATGATCTAGTCCTCACCCAAGCTATCTTGTGGGAAGGGGCAATACATTGGTTTTGTTACCATTAGGAGACTTTATTGTGTTTTAATGTCGATCAAGAGCAACTTGAAAGAATACCAATGCCTCAGATTAAAAAAGGACAGGACCATAGGAATTTTAGGTATTTTGGGGTGTCGGGAGTGTTGGTAAAAATACCAGAAAAATTATATTTTATTGATAAATAATGCAAAGAAAATGAGATACAAATAGATCAGGTTAAGGCACAGATATCTCGTTTTCTTTAAGGAGATCAAACCCACTGTGGTAGGAAGAATCCAAATACCGATGCAGCAGTCGCGAAACTATGACTTGTCCCCTCTAAGATACGACAGCCCAACTACTTGTCGTATGGTTCAGGCCAACTTTGCACAAGATGGTGAACCCAAAGCTCCACCAAGAAAAAACACTCTTCTTTGGCTAGTAATCTTTCAAGTATAACAAATAGTTAGTATAGAAAAGAATTGGTGAGAGAAACTATTTATAGGTCACTAGGACCTTACAAATTACACCAAAAAATAATAAATAAATAAATAAAAGATATTAAAATGGTCCAACAGCAAGGCCATTTGTATTTACTCGACTTGAGTTACTTTCAAAAATTGCAATTTGATGTGCTCGAAATGGAGAGGGACGGTGAACTATTGTGTCAATCTTGAGAAGGTCGCTCAAGTGTTCCCACAAATGTGGCACTACGAGCGTAGACTTAATTATTACTTGTATGGGTACTCTATACTTGGCGTTGTTCATGAAGAATCCGAAGAAGAGTCCTACTTGGTGATGTACATATGTGAAAGTGCCATATTGTACAGATTCAAATATAAGAAGATAAAAAAGCTTTGCGATTTAAAACTTAACTCTCGAGATAATTTGGACACATCAAGATGGGATACTTTTTTACTCACCAATATATTGAATTTTTCTATTCTATTTGATGATATAAATATGCTGTTAAACAAATTCAAGTTTTCAATTAATTTCTTGATTTTAAATAACTTTGAGGATGTATAGAATGAAAAACTTGTGCGGACATTAATAAAAATAATTTGTACAAGGGATTGCTTTTTGCCACATTCACAAAAAGAGTTACAAAAAAATAATTTTATGACCACCTTAAATGCTAACCGCAATTAAACATGAGTTACAAATCAAATAAAAAAAAAATTAGGCATTGTTTATTTTTTCACTGTCCGTTTTTTTTATACAAAAATGATTTGATCACATAATTATCGATATTCGAGTAATGTGATTTTTTACATGTATATAGTACTCGACGTGTTCTACATATTCAGCGATTCAGATTATCGAAACGAGACCCGTGATAATTTTTCACCAATTCCATACTATCCTTCAATTTGATCATGGACAATCTGATCTTGGACTGGAGGAAGCCAAACCCGTGTAGGATTACTGATGATTTTAGAATGAGTATGGGTGCAATTTGGACGGATTCGGTCGAGTTAGAAGGTTGTCCAAGCCCAGTCCAAGTTGTATTGAGACCTGCCCACGCCCGCCCAGGCTTGAATTGTAACCCGAGGTTACTTGTCCAAGCTCGACCCAAGTTAAACCCGAATTGCCAAAGTTGTTCGAATTACCCGAATTGTAAATGAATTTTTGTTTTTTTTTTTGCAGCTACATTATTAAATTATTAAAAATTAATACCATCAAAACAAATAATTTATATAATATAAGAGAGATGTCGCTCTAGTAGCATTTACAATTTATGAGTGAAAATAAAAAAAGTAAGATTTTATATTATTTGTATGTATAATATATATTCAATATGATTTAATAATCTAAATTATTTTAATATCATGTAATAGCTAATAATTTATATTTATATTTAATATTTTTATATATCTATATATGTATAATTCGGACTTCAGATTGCTTGGGTTATTTGATATCTTTGCCCAAACCCGCCCAAATTTAATGCGGGCTTCCAAAATATTTGCCCAAACCTGTACCGAATTTGAAAATATCTTGTCCAAGCCCTAAAACAAATTGGACTAGGTTCGGATTACTCGGGTTGAGCCCGCCCAAGTTGCACTTCTAATGTAAACAGAATAGAACAGGCCATAAAATTGGATTTCTACGTCCAATTTTCGATCAATTGTAAACTTATTGTGTTGGGCCCTTTAACATGTTTTAGGTCAGATAGTAGGATATATGAAGCTGAATTTTTACCAAGGGACAGCAAAACTTAAGTTTATGAGCAAAAATTGAACCATATAATAGGAGGATTAAGACCCAAAAAAATATTTTTAAAAAAATGGCTGGTGTGTGCACATATTGTCTCATTAATTTGAAATTAGTGAATTTTGAGTTCTTAAATGTCCACAATGCTTTGCATTGTTTTAATTTAGTTGGGTTGTGACATCATCAGTCGTCCACTAAACTTTAGAGTGGTTGGTTTGATTTAGCCCAAAAATCCAAGACTTTGTATGATGAGGGAACAACCTATTACAGTTAAGAATTGAACCCACTAGGAAAAAAAAAAAAGAAGACAGATTAAGAGTGAAAAAATTCAACCAAACCCATCAATGGCAGTTTTTGACAAACCGGTTCGGATGGATCCGATCTTAAATTAGAGATGATGCCATGATGCCTGAGCGAAGGAGGTAGAAGGTTTGAGAAGTTAGAGGTAGGCACCTTTCTTATATTTTACTTAATTACTATAGTGGGACCACGTTCACAGAAGAGCCATGAAAGTACCAAAAATCCTTTTATTTTTATTTTATTTTATATATTTTTTAGAGCAAAGATCCTCTAGAGTGATTTTTTTCTAAAATTTCCTAGAGCGTTACATTGTGTGGTTCAGATTCACTGGCAAGTTATATCAATTTTTCTGATGTGACTTGCCAGTAAATCTCAATCATACAATGTAGCACTCTAGAAAACTTTAGAGAAATTTCACTCTAGAGGATCCTTGGTGTATTTTTTAAGCATATCCACCGTTGATCATCCCATCCCATTCTTCCTGTCAGGCACCAGAACCATCTTCTCATATCTATAAATAGGTCCCTCACTCTTTTTCACTCTCACCATCATCACATTGTTCTAAGCTCTCTTGCAATCTCTTTTTCTTGTGCATAAAAAAACACTTTCCATTCTTTCTTTTCTTTCTGTTTTGAATTACTCCCATAATCTTCAAAACATGTCTCTCATTCCAACCTTTTTTGGTTCCCGACGAACCAACGTCATGGACCCATTCTCCCTCGACATTTGGGACCCCTTAGACGGCCTTTTCAACTTCTCCATTTCTGATCGCGAAACCTCTCAATTCGCGAATGCGCGGATTGATTGGAAGGAGACCCCGGAACGTCACGTCTTTAAAGCTGACCTTCCGGGACTGAAGAAAGAGGAGGTGAAGGTGGAGGTGGAAGAGGGGAGGATTCTCCAGATAAGCGGGGAGAGGAAGAAGGAGCAGGAGGAGAAGAACGACAAGTGGCACCGGATCGAGCGGAGCAGCGGGAAGTTCCTAAGGAGGTTCCGGTTGCCAGAGGATGCTAAGGTGGAGGCGGTGAAGGCTAGCATGGAGAATGGGGTGCTGACTGTTACTGTGCCTAAGCCTAGGGTGGAGGAGAAGAAGCCTGAGGTTAAGTCCATTGACATCTCTGGCTAAAAGACTAACATAGTCTTCTTTTCTCTTGCTTTGCTTTCACTGTATTTTTATTAAATAAAAAATTGTTATGTGAGAGAATGGAGTGTAAGACTATAGAAAATGGTGTGAACTTTGTTGCTCGCTTTGAATAAATAAAAAAGTTCTTACTTTTGTAAGAGGGGATAACTTGACCCACTAATTAATTGGATCCAAATGGATTCAATTAAAACCCAATCGAAAAATTTAAAAATTGGTGAGTTTGAAAAAATTATTGTCAAATATGTCAAGTAAATTCTATTGAACGGGTCCAAAAGAAAGCTAATAGATTGGGTCGACGAAGACCTATCAAGCAGATATCTCTAAAGACAGTTTTATAAGCCCATCTGAGGAGGCTCAAATCATACGGGTGTTCGAGGAAGTTAACCATTTCTTTTAGAAGAGATGAAACCCTCGGAGGAGATCCATGCTCTGAGGTATTAGCTTAGTTTTGAAAGGGTTTGGAACCACGAACCTAGAGAGCTATTTTGAGCTCGGACTCGAAAAGGTTCGGATTCATGAACCTAGAGATTCGAAGTGCTTGGCTTCAAACCGATTCGGACGCAATTTAGAAGCCGCTCCATTAATAAGTCCTAGAATACTTGCGGGCTTGGAGCTTTCTGAAATCAATGCACCAGAGCTATGGGCGTAACAGAGTTTGCATAAAGGACCTGAGCTCGAGGACGGTGAGTGGAGATAAATTCACTCTTCAGTTAAACTAGCCTATACTCGAGTCAAGGTGGCACGATCTAGGGGATCCCTGAGACTCGATAATATTTACGGCAGGGCGTTCTCTTGAACTACCCTTAACTCTTCTGCGGTAGGACGTCCTCTGGGACTACCCCTGACCCCTTGGGATAATTGGAGATCATTGGTTATGTGTGACTAAGAAGAAGGGTTCGCTGAGAGGTTGATCTCTTCTTCGGGATTTTCCTCATCCTCAGAGAGGTCACCTTCTCAGACAAAGTAGTTAGAGGAAATATTCTCCATGTGCCTTGCACATGGGCTCCATCCTACATCATGAGGTGTCTATAAATAGCACCTATCCATAGCCTTACAAAAGTTAGATTTTGGAGGGACAACTCTTGGGAAAGAACTAATTTCCTTTCTCCATTATCTACCCTGAGAGTGAAAGTGGGAGATCCATGAGAGAGCCTTACCATTATTCTCTCTCTAACTTTTTTACTTCTTCTTCACTCAATCTCTTATCTCCATCATCTCTTTACTTTTATGTTTTTAATTGTGACTGTTGAAGAATCTAAGGCTCTGTTTGGCACAACTCTCAAATTATAGTTTCACATATTGATTTGAGTGTATTGTTTATTTTGAGCTTTCAAATCATAATTCTACACCCATTTCTCAAAACTCAATTCAAAATATAATCATTCAGTGTGTTTGGTTTGAGTTTTCTAGATTAAGTTTTTTGAAAACTGAGTTTTTTGGTTTTCGTATTCTTTTGTTTTTAGTGAATATTTTTTAAATTTTAAACATTTTTTTTTATTTTTTTAGATGTACTTTAGTTAGATGTATCTAAAAAGTAAAAAATTTGTGAAAAAATATTTTAAAAAATTAATAAATACATAGAAATACAAAAAATATACTGAATTCTTGTATTTTTTTTT